AGTTGTCAGAGGCCAAAGCTGTCCCAGCAAAATGTGCCAGCAAACATCACATGCCAGTGCTTGGGCTCAGCCTCTGCTTAGTTTGCTGCTCTGACAGGACCATATGCTGCCTTTGCAGGACTGCTTGTGGTGAGCGTGTCAGGGCAGGAAGCAGCACACTGGACTGGAGCAATAGCAGACATTGCTGAGAAGGCTTCCTCCAACTCTGAGAAGTTGCTGTAATTTACTGAGGCCTTCACATGAAAGAATGTGAATGTTTCGTCAAAGGTGTAGTGTTCTCTGTTAAAAAGGAACATGCTGGACTGGTAAAACTGAGTTAAACCCTATTCTACCTTTGGTGAAGCTTTGTTGCGTAGCACGGGGGAGGAATGCTCTTTGGTACTTTGCAGTCCATTGCTTAATACATACAGGCCGAGGTTTCCTGTTGCTGTGGCTGAAAAGCTGATAAAACTATGTGCTATTCATCATAGGCAGTTCATTACTAATACAGCATTCTCTAGGTCATGATGGGGCAGATCCCAGTTAAGGTTTGTATGTGAGAGCTGTCATATCAGCTCATTGCCTCCCATAGCAGAATTGTGATTTTTTTTTTTCTTTTTGTGAGTCACCTGTTATGAAGTTGTATCATTAATATCTCAAGGTGCAAGTTGCTTGTTTCTCTAGGCACTAGCAGTGCTTATAGAGGAGGAAGGCCTTGGATACCATTCTCTGTTTTAGCAAAGGATGACTTGCATTATGATGTTATCTAGGGCTGAAAAGTACGACTAATTAATTTGATTACAATCACAACTGGCTCTGTTTCCGCTCTTCTTCCAATATATTCGACAAATTACAGAAAGTGCCCAGAAATGAAGAATTCCAGGAAGACTACGCTGCGGGGAATCACTGGACTTCTCAGATACTGTCTGTTTCAGGTTGCAAGTGGACAGAGTGTGGTACAGGCCCTGCCTTTGAGCCGGAGGAGGTCAGTCATCTGATTACTTGGCAAGATGGCCGCTGCAGTCCCGCCTTCCTCTCTTCTCTTCCTCTGCCTCAGTCACATATCAGCTTGGCTACAGGATTTGGGTGTGCCACAGTCTACTGGTATTTAAAAAAGAGGTACATCAAGCTGTTTCACTGGCAGTTTCTCATCTTGAATTTATGTGACAATTAGTATTCCTGTAGCATGTTAATGTCACTACAGGGTGAGGGGCTGTGTTTCTCTGTGATCGTAGTATTAATTAAGTAGTCAAAGAATATTTAAAATGGCAGTATTCAATATAAACTATATACAACTGAGCACACATAAAAATACCTCTGACCTCATAAAAATACTACAGATCTATTTAATACAAATAAAATCTTTTGACCATATAGTAACAGAAGCCTCAAAGTATCATAGAATTTCCCATCTGTTCTACTGCTCAGAGGAGCTCTGCTAATGCAGTTTGAACGCTATAATTTTGCCTTGTGAAGATTGTGAAAAGTACAGACATGCCTAAAACAATAACAGACAACAGACTTGCTTTGTCTGGTTGCTGCCAGATGCTCAACCAAACAGTCCCTAAATTAATTTCAGTTCCTTCCTTCCTTAGACACTGAGATCCTTATGAGGTGTTACAAATGGTCTGCTTTGTTGTGGCATGTTTGCAGAGGATATAATTTTTCACATATGACTTGGCATCAGCAAGATTTCCTCTTCTGTTTTGTCTGTAGTATGCTATGTTTCTCAAACAGCCAATGTCTTCCTCTGCCATAAATTGAGGTTCAATAAATGGGGAAAAACTTAGATCTTGGTTTCTTCCAGTGTGTGTCCAGCAAATATGTGAAGCATGGCTTTAGAGCTGTATAACTCGTGAGTCCGGCTGCTTTGTTTTGTTCCTGTTTTGTTTCACCTTTTGGTACATTTCCATTCATACAATATGTGGATCGTAGAGCAACTGCAGGAATTTACCTGTTTTTCTCAAATGCTTGAGGATCAACAAAGTGACATCTTTTTTTGTGCAAACAATTACTACCTTCTTGGGAACTTTTGCAATGGTGTGCCTTTGAATCTAGACAATTCATTCCTGAAAGCCACTGTTTCTCCATCTTCCATCAGGAGATAAATATTGCTGCTGTGGTGACAGCTTGGAAAAAAATTCCATTTAAAAAACCAAAACAACAAAATGCAGCTTGATCACTGAGATGGCTGTTTGATTTTTAGATGAGACCACCACACATGTCTGAAGTTCCCAGTAGCAATAGAAGTAATGTTGCTCGGACTGCCTTAAAGCACCCCTCATTGTTTTTGTTTTTAAAATGTTTTGTTTAAAAGTCCAGATTTTCTGAAGTCTTATGATGCAGCTGGCACTATCCATGACTATGTGGTTGCCATGTTGTGTGATCTGAAGAAGCCACTCATGTCCATCCAGAATGCTGCCAGCTGGGGATATTTTGATTCCAGAAACAAAAGCTGGAATACTGACATGTAAGTGCTAAGGTCACTCAGTGGGGTTTGTGCATTGTGTGTGTCAGGCAATGTGAACACCTCTTTGGGCCCTAAGTATGAATGTGCCACAGATAAAAAGTGGTTGAAAGTTACTCCTAACCAATTGTGGTGTGACATGTACTGAAGAACTATTGAGAGTTTGCTCTGATTTGTAAGGTATAAATGTTTAAATTATGTAAAACCTCACACGGTATTTTTAGAAATACCTAAGACAGCAGAGCTGAGAGATTTGTCAGTGAGACCTTGTATACCAAACTGTTCTCTCCCTTTCTGTGGTGGGATGGGATGGACAGGTGCATGCTGCAGCCAAGGTGTTACCTCTCTGATGGTAAAAGACAATTATTGCTTTCTAGTTCTTTCAGCTGAACTCCTTCATAAATACTAAGACTTCCTGGTGATAGCACCTGAGAGACAATTAGTTTGTTTATTTACCTATTTATTTGAATGATTTGCTCTTTCAGGGCTGAGTGCTAAGGGCTTATGTATTTCAGGACTTAGGTTAGGCCAGGACTCCAAGGTGAAAAGATCTGCTCATGAAGGTATGAAAGAGTGACAGAAACTTGCATTTGGCCTACTGAACTTTTACTAATCTGGTGTTGCTGCTGTAGCGGTGTAGTGTATCAAACTACGAGATAGTGTAAGGAGTTGGGCTTTACTCATGTGATTTGGTTTTGAACCACTAACTGCATGACAGCTTAAAGTTCTTGGGCACTTAGAAGTTGCATTTTTTTTTCTGGTTTTTGTGATTCTCTTACCCTGGAACTGCTTGTCAATATGACATCAGTAGGTTAAACTTGCTGAACATGTACTGCTGTATAATCTCAGGTAATCAGATTGCATATAAAGGAAAGCTATTTGTTCTTCTAGACTATTCCAATTTACCCAGCCTGTTGAACTGGAATGCTGCTCCTTCCAAGACAAAGCTTTCTAAATAGGTGAAAGCATCCATAAATCCAGCAGCCACAAATGTACAGCCAGGTTCATCCATGACTTCAAAGAGGTCTTTATAGTCATGCTGCACATTCCCCTATTGCTTTCCTGCAATAGTGTTGTTCTGATTACAGATTGAAAAAATCTGGCTTTCCCGTTCACTTGCTTCCAGAGGTGGGAGACCCTGACAGTATTGCAGGCAGGACAATCTGTGCCTGGCATGGAATACCCAAAGGAGCAAAAGTAGGAGTTGCTCTGGGAGATTTCCAGTGCTCTGTTTATTCCTGTCTGACTGAGAGGACTGATGCAGGTATGATCATTTTGGTATCTTATTTGGTTTTCTCATTGTCTTCCTTCAGGGTGGCCTACTAAAACACTGGTTTTTATTTTATCATTTTTTAATTTTATTTTTGTGTTCTAGTTCTTAATATCAGTACCTCTGCTCAGTTGACTATTTCAATGCCCCCGGGTTTCCAGCCTCCAGAGACACCAGATCCTTCCTCAGCAGTTACTTAATTCAATGGTGACTACTTGGCCGTGGCAGCATCACTTAATGGAGGCAATGTGCTAGCAATGTTTGTGGACACGGTGGCACGGTGGACAGAAGAGCTAGGTAAGCTTTTCAAGGATAGTTTAAGCTTAAAATAGAGATTGATCAACAAGGTAAAAGGAAACTAAGGCAAAGGAACAAGCCTAGAGCAGTTTTGTCATGCCATCTAGGGAACAAGGATGTAACTCTTGGGTCATGCTTCCTAGGTCTCTGGAATTTCCTGCTG